TCGCTTCGTCCAGTTCAACCGCTCCCGCGCCCAGTTTCGTGATAAAAAGACTTCGTACGGCTCTCCTTGAAGTTTAGATGTCACGATGTTCTTCTTCGGGCTTCCTCGAGATAGAAGAAAGGAAAGTGCAAGCAATAGTTCCTTGCGGTAAAAGAAGAAGAAATAAAAAGAAGATTGTTCTCCCTAGGCTTCTTCTTGGTGGCTTGTGGCAGAAGAAAAATTTGGTTTATTTCTCTTGTAAGTTTATCTTCTTCGGTGTATCTCGGTGTAGATTTTTTCGGTGTATCTCGGTGTAGAGAGAGAAGAACATAGAGAGAAGAAGTAAGAGATTCCTCTTGTAAGTCGAGGTGATCGATTGGTGTAAATTCCTCAAGTAGTAAAATTCTTTGCAACTCCGTAGATATAGACAATTTGTCAAATCACGTAAATCTGTGTATTCTTTTATGGTGTGAATTTTCTTGTTCTGTTTTTTGCTTCAAAGATCGTTCTTCTGTTTGATTTATATATATACAACCACATAATCTGGTATATCTATCTTACCGCCACAACAACTGATATCAGAGCTTTGTTCGAATTTGAGGAAGAATAATGGTTGCAGATGAAGTGAAGGTTTCAGAGATCGAGAAGTTTGATGACAGTTTTTGGTTATTGGAGGATGCAGATAGAGGACTATCTCTATGGGAAGAAACTTCATATTCCGTTATTGGGGAAAAGACCTTAAAAATGGATGAGGCTTAATGGAATTTGTTGGATCGACAAGTTCTGGGGGATATTCGATTGACCCATTCGATTGACCCTATCGAGGTCACCCTATCGAGGTCCGTTGCACACAATGTCGTCAAGGAAAGAACGACTGCAGATCTCATAGCAGTCTTATCAGGTATATATGAATAGTCATCGGCGAATAATAAGGTGTACTTGATGAATAAGTTATTCAACTTGAAAATTGCAGACGGTGTTTCTGTTGATCAACATCTGAATGATTTCAATACTATCAAAAATCAATTGTCGTCTGTTGAAATTGATTTTGATGATGAGATATATGCGCTGATATTGTTGGCATCGTTGTCAAATATTTAGGAAGCCACGAGGATGGCAGTTAGCAGTTCTGCAGGTAAATCTAAACTGAAATGTGATGATATTCGTGATTTGATTTTGGTTGAGAAAGTGCGCAGGAAAGATTATGGCAAGATCTCAGGTACGAGTTCAGCACTGAATGTTGATTTCGGAGAGAGATGACATGACAGGAACTCAAATAAAGGGGGATCAAAATTAAAGTCTGGTCAGCATGCAATCTGCTGGAATTATGGCAAGGCTGGTCACATAAAGAGGAACTGTAAAAATCCCAAGAATATGGAGAATGATAGCGCAAATGTGATATCTAAAGAAATGCATGATGTACTATAGCTAGCAGTTTATAGTTCTGTTGATGATAAAAGTGAAGAGGAGAGTGAGTTTGAGACACTCATTCTTATTGTTCCACAGACAGATGGTGAGAAACCACAGAGCTATGAGAAAATCTTGCAAGATGAAAGTTTGAACAAGTGGAAGTTAACAAAACTTCCATCAGGGAAGAAGGCATTACACAACAAGTGGGCATACCAGGTGAAGGTTAAGCATGATGACAGTGAGAGGAACAAGACTAGACTTGTTGGAAAAGCACATACTAGGTGAAGGTTAAGCATGATGATAGTGAGAGGAACAAGACTAGACTTGTTGGAAAAGCAGAGGCAGGATATTGTCTATGCAGTGGGAGTTGTAAGCAGAGACAAGAGTAATCCAAGAAAAAGCTTGAAGGGTCAAGGAAGGTGCAAGGCTATTTGGACCCTACTGATATGTTGACTGAGGGTGTTACTCTTGAGAAGCTGAAATTGTGCACAGCTTTAGTTGGTCTTCTGGAGTGAAGACGGGGCTTTAAGTTGCAGAGGTGGATGATTCAAGTTGAAGGATTCATGATGAAGGATTCATGTTTGAAGAAAAGGGTGGCACTGCCAGTGGAGGATTCAGTTCGATGAAGAAGATGTTGAAGCATGTGTATCGGTCTCCAAGTGGGAGATTGTTAGCGCTGGCGTCTGATCCTTTTCCCGCTCCCGCCTCTCGATCTCCCGCTCTCGTTTCCCTCTCCCCTTTTTGTGAATCGGTGCCAACCTCTATCGCGGCGATAAGTGTTCCCGCTCGCTCCTGCTCCTCACGTTTCACGAATCGGCGCCAACGATTCTCTACCCTTAAGAGAAGCTTCGCTTCGTCCTGTTCAACCGCAGTCGCTCCCGGTTTCGCGATAAAAAAACTTCGGACGGCTCTCCTTGAAGTTTAGATGTCACGGTGTTCTTCTTCGGGCTTCCTCCGGATAGAAGAAAGGAAAGTGCAAGCAGTAGTTCCTCGCAGTGAAAGAAGAAAAAAAAATATTGTTCTCCATATGCTTCTTCTTGGTGACTTGTGGCAAAAGAGAAATTGGGTTTATTTCTCTAGTAAATTTATCTTCTTCGGTGTATCTCGATGTACAGTTTCTTCGGTATATCTCGGTGTAGAGAGAGAAGAACAAGGAGAGATGAAGAGAGAGCAACGAAGTGAGAGATTCCTCTTGTAAGTCGAGGTGATCGACTGGTGTAAAATCCCCAAGTAGTACAATCCTCTGCAACTTCGTGAACGTAGATAATTTGTCGAACCATATAAATTTGTGTTCTTTTCTGGTGTAAATTTTCTTGTTCTATTTTTCGCTTCAAAGATCGTTCTCCTGTTTGATTTATATATATACCACATCATCTGATATATCTATCTTATCGCCACAACACTACCAATCATTGATATTGGTTCTCGTTTACCATTGTAGTTGGACATTTGCCGCCACCAATCAACATTTGGTGATCACAAACTATGGCTGGTCATAGCCATTGCATTTGCTACCACAGTCATTGACCTCATACCGATACTGCCCGCCATCACCATCAAGCATAAAAAAGTTATTCTTAGCCATTATCATTAGCTACCATTGCCATGCCCACCATCCCTCAAGCACAAAAATGGGAATCCTGCATTTGCTTTACACTCAAACTTAATAAATTCAAATATTTCAAAAGACCGTGTAGTATTTTTATTAAACATTTCTTTCTTCACAAAACAAACAATCTCTAAATCACAATATTAATATACATAAAAAATGTGTCTGTGTTGACCTTGTGTAGATCTAATGTACCAAAAAAATGAGTACGACAAAGTAGGGCTTACCAACAAAAGACCATGAAGTTTAACTGTCTCACAAGTGAAGTTGTCTGAACTAAAGCTAATAAGACAAAAGTTGACAGAATCATGCGATAGACAAAAGACACTAATGGATACAAAAAATGAGAACAAAACAAAAAGGCATCCAACCAACTTTCACAGGAGAACCAATCCAAAGAAAATTTGGTTCACTACTCTAACCATCCCAAATACATTCAAAGGCCCCTACACAGGGTTTCAGGTTTGACGGTTTGGCCATATCAACCTGTTGATCCGTATCAATCAAGCTCAACCAACCAAACTAATCTCATATAAGAGAGCAGATCTCAACTAACAAAACTGATCTTGTCGACTAGAAGCCAATTAAGCTTATTCCACCGACCAAAAAGTAATCTAAGAATAATCTCATACATCTAAAATATAAAACATGTAAAATATAAAAAATATCCTAGTTCGAACCCCATTAAAATTGAGGTAAAAATGCAAAAACATGATATTATTCTTATTTATAAATAGGGCAACCTTTTACAAGGTAGGGTAATCATTTTGAATGTATTCATTTTCATTATTGTTCACCCCTATTTTTAACTCTCTCTCTCCTTATGCTATATTCATTAAATGTGATTCATAGAAAAATTAAAATTCAACAATTAAAGTTTAAATTTAATTAGCTCAAGCTTTTACTCTAATTTCAATTCAATATAATGCAGGACAATGTTCAAAAGAATTAAAATATAATTCTAATTATGATAAATAATCATAATTTCTAATATGATGGTCATTCAAACAGATAGAACTCCTAAGACTCAAATAATTCTAAGACTCTGCTTGATACAGAATATTGACAACAGCCACCAAGTAACCACTATTTCTCGATTACCTACCCATAACTTTCCCGTCATCACACAACTATGATTTAACATTGCAAATACCCTTATCTAACTAAAAACTTCTTTTTGATCATCATCATCTCACTAACAATCCCCTAACCATTGCCACCCGACTATAATCCAAACCATGTTGCTCAATGACAATCACTTTGGCTTCATTATAATATATCAACATGCCAGAATTGAACATAATTTTCATTTTTTTTACTGCTTACATAATTCAAAATTACGATCCACAATATTGACAATAACCAGCAAGTAACTATTATTTCTCGATCATCTTTACTTGGGCACCATAACTTGCTCATTATCTCTCAACTTCGATTTAATACTTCATTTAACATAGTCTTAACTAAAATATTCTTTTTTATCACCATCATCTGACTAGCACATCCACTCATCAACAATCATCATCATTCTATCACAATCGAATATAATTTTCATTTTTTTTTACAGATTTAAGTTCAAACTATTTATCTTAACAAGCTCAGACTTAACAAGCTCAGAAAGTCTATTTTGAATGATGGCCTTGTATGTTGAAGATATTGCTATATTCCCCAAAATGAATTTTTGGGCTTTGGGTTTGATTGAATGTATGTAAAACCCCCATGAAATAAACTCTAATTTTGCATATAGTCCATACAAGTATTCACTTGAGATTAGCATTCAATGAAAGAAAATTGAACCTGAAAGACGCCTATAAACCAATATTAAACAGCAACATCTTGGGATGTTGAACCCTTGCCAACTCATCCTTCGAGTGTAATTTGCCTACAGCAATACCCGCTAACTGAAATTAGTGTAAGGCGAATGGATTCAAGAATCATAACAAAAATTCGATATGTAACCATATTAAGCAAGAATTTCAGAAAGAATTCATCTTCTTATTTCTAAATTAATTCATTGTACACAAATCTAGCTTCCCCCATTTAACAAATAGACCAAATGAAAGAAATAAGCAGAAGATATAGCAAAGAAAAAGAAAGACAAAATCAAAAACCATTTCTATCAACATGTTGTTCTCCTCCTTCCTGTTCCTGCTCTTGATCTCGATTCCCTGTTCCCTCTCCTCTTCCAAAAGTAATCTCGAACCAAATTGCCCTTTCTTCCCCCTGGCCATCTACATCGCTGCCTACTTTCTTAGGTTCGCTCTCATCCGCCGGCATACAATACCGGCACACCGGGCATGTCCCGTGCAGCCCCAACCACTTATCGATGCAATCTCCATGGAATCGATGCTTACACGGCATCTCCTTCACCACTGCCTGCCCGAACTCATCCAAGCACACCGAGCACTCCTCCCCGGAATCAACCATATCCATCGTCCGCATCGCCTCAATCGATGCCTTAGTCGCCGGCGGCGGCCCTTTCCGGCCGGCGCCGGAGCAACTCGGTCAATAGGGTGGGATCGCCGCGTAGAACCGCAACGCGACGGGAAATCGGGTGAACAAGCAGAATACGTTCCGAAGGAGATCCTTGGTCCTGCGAAAAGGGGCCGCTCAGAAGACCGACGATAATCGGGTTGAAGATCTGTGCTTCTTCGGTAATGTTGTCCGCTGAGATTGAGGCTCTGAAGATGTGGGAGAAGAAAGCTGCTGCTTCTCTGTCCGAATCCGACGCCATGATTGAAGAGAATCGGTAAGGAGGGAGGAGGAGGAGGAGGGAGGAGGAGGATGAACCGTGTATTGATTTGGGAATGAATGAAGGAATTCGAAGCAAATGGGAAGGGAAATTAAATGAGTGGTGGTGGAATGCCGTAGAAGAGTCTAGAAGTTTGCCAGCTTAATCTACCACGTCAGTCAGCAGAGTCGGCATATTTTCTTATTTTTTCAGCACGATGCTTTGAGCCGAAAAAATTGGCATTTGAATTTACCTTTATACCCTTTTAATCCGCCTCTTACGTGGAGTGTCTGGCACCGTTTATTGGCGCTTTGGTGAGCTTCCTTGGGTGACGGCCCTTCAAAAATCACATCCGCCCAATGAAAAGGAATGTTTGTAATTTAGGGTATGTTTGGAGTAAGTGTAGTTTATCCAGCTTCTGCTGATAAGCAGCTTATCCTGATAATCTGTTGATGGGCAGCTGATTTGGATAGGCAGCTGATTTGATGGGCAGCTGATTTGGATAATATGTCTGGTTGTTTGGTTAATGCATTCTGAGAACAGCTGATTCTGAAGAAATGATCAATCTGCCCCTGTTCTGGATAAGTTGTTGAGTTGTTTAGTTCGTGCATTTTGTAAACAGTTTATCGGTAAATTTTTTTATTTGAATTAATAATATATATAACAGAATAAATTATTTTATCAACAAAATTAAAGATCAAATATTAAGACAAAACAATACAAATAAATAGAGCTACATTTATATAACTCAAAATAATGATTACTTGTATGTCTCACCAAGCTTTATATATGTTTCACATTTTGGAGTTCAGCATATAACATTATTAATTTGCAGAGTGGGATGATAAGGAAGAAGGAAAGAAGGTCCTGCAGCAGTGGGAAGGTGTTGGGATGATGATGATGTCAATGATGATTTATCCCTCCAATTGAGAAAAGAATTGGGAAGCAACCCAGAGAAGAAGTAAAGTGTCTCTTGCTCTCCTTCCTCCTTATTGTGCTCTATAAGCTTTAGCAAAATGTTCTTTTGAGGTTTGTGTGCTTTTTAGAAATGTGTTTTTAATTTTGTGAACAACTTTATATGTTGCATTGCAACAGCTTTCTGCTTGGGTTTGAGAACTTTGTTTCAATGAACTAAACTAGGCATAGTTATTTACTAAATGACTTATTAATTTACTTGTTGATTATGCAGTGGTTTATAGAAGATGTTGTAGAGTGTGTTATGATGATTTATGTTTTTTCTTCTTCTTAAGTTTTCAAATGACAATTTTAATTGATGAGGCAATATTGACATAAATGTAAAGGATGCGGAGAAAATATTTAAAAGATATGGTGAGACATACAAGGATATTGGGTATTGGGTATACTCTTCGTTTACTTGAATACTAAGGATTAAAGATCGAGAAAAAAAGAATGGCAAGGAAAAATAACTAAGCCTTGAATAAAACAAATCAAACTATTAACATGATTTTATCATTACATCCATGATTGCTTTATAATTCGAATCTAATCTAAATTAGCAAATTTAGTGTTTTATATTATTTTCTTGCTGAAGCAGGATTTATTTTTTTCCTCCAAATGTAATGCATGATGGAATCCTTTTAATCATTGGCAAGTATTGTACCTTAAACAAATTGTTGTGTTGCAATTGGCTGAACAATATTTAGAATCATCACCATTACTTCTATCATATATGATATAAATATATGAATTTGCAATGGAAGTACTGAGTTACTATGTTGATTCCCAATTCCCAGGTTGTGCTTATTCCTGTCACTGCTGGTCTCATCCTCAACACATATGCAAAATCTGTGGTGAATATTATTCGGCCTATAGACCTATAATGTCTTTTCTTGCCATGTTTTGCACAGCGTTGTGTATTGGAAGTCCTCTTGCTATTAGTAGGAGCCAAATTCTATCTTCAGGTCACCTATTGCTTCTACCCATAGTGACATTCCATGTTGCAGCCTTTGCATTGGGTTATTGGGCTTCCAAGTTACCATTTTTGATGTACATGTCAAGTTTCAAAGTATTTGTGCTCATCAATGATTTCTTAAACTTTATGATATGTGGAACAAAATGCATTTTTACCATTTTATGTACTTCATCAACTCCTTGTATACACTCTTTTCAGAATAGCTCAATCATATCTGAAGATCTCAGTTTGAAAGTTAGTGATTCTTCTTTATGTAAAAACGTACTACCATGTAGCCTCTTCAAAAAAATGGATTAGGCCAATTAGAGTAAAGATGGTGTGTTGGAGTCCTCTATGCAACGCCTAAAACATACAAAAAGTTTGATTGCTAAAAAAACGAAAAAAAAGAGGTTAATTACATACATACCACCCAATTCTTATGTATTAACATATATAACACCTAAATTTTGATTTTTACATCTATACCACCCAAATCTTTCACATCTATTTTCATGCATAAGAAGCATATAAGTAAATATCAAATTGAGAGCGTATATGATATACAAGTCATGAATGATCTAGTTTGCAAAACCATACCTTGCATTGTGCTTTTGCAAATTGAAACAGAAAGGATTGTTCATGCAGTTCATCGTGATTAGCAATTTAAAAGCACTTTTATCGATCGATTTATCGCAAAGAGTGAGTTATAATAATTGAGAGTGCAGGCACATAACTGCTCGTTAGCAAAATATAGTAAAAAAATGCAGCAAAATCTTGCAAATAAATTATAAGAGGTGATTTTAATAGTAGGAGCAGCACTAAGCAAGGACAACGAGACATATAGGAAACATAGCAAGCAGATGTCTGTCATTGTTTAGATGCATTGCTGCTGCCTTCAACAAGAAGCAAACACAATATGCATATAAGAAGCAGACACTTTCACCTTATAGCAGACACTTAGATTCTGTTATAGTAATTGATTTAAAATGAGAACTAGTCCCAAAAAAATTGCTTATTTTACTTAGCAGAATTTGCTTACCCTGAAAAAGTAAGAAGAGATCTTCCTAAAATGCAGGATTTAAATTGAACCAGCTTCAAATTCAATTAGTTCTAACTTAAGGGTAAATTCACAGAACATTCAACAATTGTACAAAAAAAGGAAACAAAAACTGACTTTGAACTTCGCCAAAATCCAATATAAATTGTTTTCCTTGTTTATAATTTCTTTTCTTCCGAAGATATGTATATTCATACTCGAAAATAAAGTTTAAGAACCCACGAAAAACAATGTCATGATCGATCAATTTCGTCCGCTATCTGGTCTCGCAATGCGGTCATTTTCCTTGCACATTCACCTTCGCGACTGTAAGCATATTTTGAGTTTTCATGTGGTATGAGATGACCGACATGAAATTCAAATGCTTCTTGTGGAATATGATGCATGTCTTCTTCTACAGATGCAAAGTCCAAGTCAGAGCGTGAGGGGTAGCGTCGGATGTAGTTGTGCCATGGTTGCTAAAACTGTTTGTACTTGTTTCGGAAATGTGTAGGTTGGCATGTCACGTAATGTCACCCACTTCTTCTTCCATACCCCGAATGACCTCTCCATGCGCAAAGAGGAGTGCCGTTTGTTGAACAATTCCTTTCTACCACGTGCAATCCTGCTTGACCTCTCGAAGTCGGGAATATGGTATTTCGTGTCGGCATAAGGCTTTAGATAACCCCTTTGTAAGGGATATCCAGCGTCAACCAGATAATATTTACCTGTATGAAAAACGTAATTTAGAAACGACTCATAAATGTCTAATATATTTGTTATATTTATGTACCAGAAGGAGGGTACGTGAAGTAATGAGTTTGGTGTCTTGTTGCAAACATAAAAACACGACTATCATGTGCGCTGTCTTCCCATCCGGCCGTCACAAATGTGAAACACATGTAAGCCACATTGTCGGTGTCAGATACATGTGCATCAACGCGAGTTCCATCAATAGGCGTCAACCAGATAATATTTACCTGTATGAAAAACGTAATTTAGAAACGACTCATAAATGTCTAATATATTTGTTATATTTATGTACCAGAAGGAGGGTATGTGAAGTAATGAGTTTGGTGTCTTGGTGTCTTGTTGCAAACTTAAAAACACGACTATCATGTGCGCTGTCTTTCCATCCGGCCGTCACAAATGTGAAACACATGTAAGTCACATTGTTGGTGCCAGATACATGTGCATCAACGCGAGTTCCATCAATAGCTCATATGCAGTCCTAAATGTAATAATGTTTAATCTTTTAATAATTGAGAGGTAAATAATTATAATATAGTAATGACATGTTTAAGATATACATTGAAGAACGACATGTAGCGAGGGTCAGACACAATATGTCGGGATGGACTCGAATGTGGGATCTTCGGGCTTAATTATCTTAGAGGCTAAACTTACTAGAGCATTCAGACCAATGGAGAAATACCTGCTGATAGCCTCTGATGAATGTTGAAATCATTCCATGGCTCCTCTAATAGACTCATTCTGAGATAATATATAGAGTGTTATTGTTAGCACCTCTCTTGATGTCATTCTGGTCGAGTCATTCAAACCATGTTGGTATTGTAGTTCGTAGAGCAAATTGATGAAAATCTCTTTCGTCATACAGAACATGTTTGTGAAACGTATCGGATGCCCTTGTAGTAAATCACCAACCCCTTTATTGCCAACATATTTTATTGCCAACATATCTCGATGTCAGACATGTAGTTCGGTCGATGTATGTGAAGTAGTAGTCATATAACAAAGAAAGAATAAGCACAATCCTTCTAACATAGTGCAATTGTTCTGAATTCATCCTACGAAAATTTGTTCGAAGAGAATAGTTATAACCTTCTACCATATAAAGACATCCATAAAACATATAACCGCAAAAGATATGAGAACTAGAATGTTAACTATAAGGAGTGATAGAAGAAAAAAAGTGCTAGAAGAAAAAAATAACAATCCCCGTTACAACAGTACAAACAGTTTTGAGAAAACAAAACGAGAAGCTGGGGTGGAACGTAAGAAGGAACGTTTCAAAACAAAACAGTACAAACAGTT